GGGGGGACGCACCCCCCCCAAATCCCCCCAGGCGGGTTGGGGGGGGAAGTGGGGGATTTAAAGCTCCACGCATCTAAAAGTTGCTGAGGTTGAGAAACACTGGTTTAGATCACTCCCTGAACCAAATGTTTCCATCTCGCCTTCTCGCGTAAGGTTTGATGGATCCTGCCCCCCCCTTCCAATCCTCGCCACCTTGCACCCGGCACCCCCTGGTCCTGGAAAGCAGCTGAGGGCACGCAACTCTTCCGCCCCACTCGCCAAATTCAAGGATTGTACAAAGAGACCGAAGGGTGAGTCGATCGCCTGCTCAAGAGCCCTACGGAGGGCCTGTCCCAGTGCAAATCTAGGCACGCCTGTTCCGTGGCTGTCCCGCCAGGTTTCACGCCAGCTCAAGGGCATGGCTACCCGCCGCGGGCCATTCCTGCCAGCGGGGATCCAGAAGTCATTGCTCATCAGCAACGCACCTTTCCAAGGAGAGGGAGGGAGGGAGGGGCAACCGGTCAGGGTCCCACGCTATCACTTCCTGCACCGGCACCCAGGTCCGATCCCGCCAAACGAAGGCCGTTGGAGCGAAACAGGAAGGAGCACACCCGCAGGAATTCCGACAGCGGAAGTTGCATATATTATTAAACTCAAGTGATTGAGGCTCCCAAGAGAAGTGGGGCGGGTAGGAACGCGCCTCTTGTAGTGGTGCTCAGACAGAGGTATCCCGGAGATGCAGAGGGGCTGATGGGCGTCCGGGCTCTGCCCGAGGCCCACTCCGGTGGCGAACGGCAGCCCTCGGTGGCTCGGAGGGCCTCCCCTCCTGCCCTCTGCTGCCCCCTATCTTGAAATCCCAGTGCTGCGAAAGGAAAACGCATGCCGAGGATCCCTTCCGGCGACACTTTGGCTTGCGAGATGCTTCTTGTAAGGCTTCTTAGCGCGGGTCGCAATTGCAACCGGATCCGGCAAGAGCAGCAGCCTTGGCCCCCTGCCCTCCCCCCGGGTCCCAAGCCCTAGTTCCGGGGTTAGAGGCTGCAAGCGGTGTAAAAACATGTGACACTGACCCAGGGAGAACCTCTGCGCAGGCAACTTTAAGCCTAACCTTTGATAAATTAAAAAAAAAAAAAAAGTTTATTTACAGCAAGGAATTCCGACATAGGATATTTCAGCATAGGAAGAGCGAGACTGATTTACATATATAGGTGTGTGCGTGTCTGTGGGGTGTGTGTAAACAGACACACAACACACACACACAGGGAGGACATTGTCCTCCACAATGATGCTCTCTTACAAGGTTGCCTATTTTTTTCACACCCTCTTTGAAACAGTCACAGTCTGCTTGCACTTTCCGCCACCTTCCTCTAAGGTAAAGTAAGTAACACACACAGACACACGCACACACCAGCATCTCTCACCACATGGCACATGGAGAAAAAAGGGTGAGTGGGCAGGACAGGTGAATGCCCCACATCGGTTTGTTTTTTTTTCCCAGGATCCAACCTGTCAGAAGTTTGAGATGTTTTTAAGAAAGATGGGTGAAAAATTATTTTCCAGAATTCCCAATCTGGGTGAGCAGCTGCAGAGGAAATCACGGGGATAGCTTTGTGGTGGGCCGGATACCTTTTTTTGGAGATAACGATGAGGTGCCTTCACATGACGAACCTCACAGGCTTCTGACTGCGATGAGAAGCGTAAGAATCGATTCTTACAGGAAAGCTACCATTTTGACCTTTCTGCCTTATAAAGAGGAGCTGCTTCCGCTGCGCTGCAGAACACGGTGGCCTCCAAGACCGGGGTCCCCTCCTGCTGGCTTCTCAAGGCTGGAACTCAACAGTTCCCCAAAGGGGTGGGCGGGCGATGGAAACACCACGTTCCCCTCCACGGGGCATCGATTAGGCGAAGGGACAAGAAACCAAGATGAGGAAGAGCCGGCGCCCTCACTCTGGATCTTAAAGGGGGACTCGGCAGTGGCGGGCAGGGCGGGAAAGAACGGTCTGCGAAACGCTCCGTCGGTGGATTTCGTCAGGGATTCCTCTGAGTTACAAAAAGTTCAAGTAAAAAAGGCGGGAGGGGGAATTCAGCATGAGAAGATTCATCCATATCTATATATCCACAGAGAGAGAGAGATATACATATGGATGGCACGACTGAAGGACTATTAATCCACAAGCAACAGTTCAGACACAGCTCCTCCCTTCTCCCCCCACGTTGGCTACAAGTGGCTGCGGGGGATGGAGGAGGACCCTCAGCCCCAAGGTGGCTCCAGTCCAGCATCTGGGAGAGGGGGCATCCTTTACTGCTGAGCCCCTGCGGCAGCTGGCACCGGCATTCCCAGCGGGTTGGCAGCAGCAATCACCGGGGAGCCTGCCAGAGGTCCGAGGGGGGAAGACGTTGCCACTGAAGGAATTCCTGCTGGGGAGAAAAGGAGAAGATCAGCCGTCCAGAGAGGCCGCTTTTCCCCCAGAAGAGCCCAAAGAGCACAGCAGAATGGCTGACAGTAGAACAAGCCCGTTTCAGAGGCCAGCCAGGGCAGACCCACCTGACAGCATGCCAGTGCTGCTAACGGGCGTGCTGCTCCCTGGCAGGCTGGCTGAGCTCATCCGAGTCTGGTCCTTCACAATTGGGTCTAGGAAGACAAGAAGGAGACAGTGCCCCCTGCATGAGAGCGCCAAGGCCTTCGGCGAATGCAAAATACACCCCCGTGGCAGGGTGCAGCTTCGCCACTCTGGTACCTCAGCTTCCGAGATGTGCTTCTGGCCTTGAGATGGGGGGGGGGGGGGGAGCTGAGTAAGCTTAATGCAATGGGCATTCCACCTGCTTAGCTAGAAACGCCAGGCACACGACTCAAAGAAGCTACTTAGTGCAGCCTTCAATAGCCCAGAGCCCTCCAAATGTGCTGGACTACAAATCCCAACATCCTTAGCCAGCTCGGCGACAATAGTTGATCCTGTAGCCTAACC